CCATGACCCCCTCCTTGGGCTTGACTAGTTTGCGGGAGTGGCTCACAGAGCTCAGAGAAACATTTGCTTAAATTTACCAGTTTTATTATAAAGGGTACAGATAAGCAGTCAGATGAAGAGGTACATAGAGTAAGGTCCAGAAGGGTCCTGAATTCAGAGCTTCTGTCCTGACATGTAGATGTGTTCACCAACGTGTAAGCTCCAAACTCCCCAACCTCCGTCCAGTGGGCTTTTAGGAAGGCTTCATTATATAAGCATGCATGACTGATTAAGTCACTAGCCACTGGTGATTGATTCAACACCCTCTCCCCTCCCTGGAGGTGGTGGGACTGAGTTCCAATCCTCTAATCCTGATTGGGTCCCCTAACAATTATCTTTAGAGGCTTCCAAATGTAAACTCAAGATAAGGTTCAAAGGGGCTTGTTACAAAAAACAAAAGCCACACTTTTTACCTTTATGGCTTTGAAGCTATTTCAGGAACTGGGAACAAAATATGCTCTTACAGCTCTTATCACTTAGGAAATTACAAAGGTGTTACTAGAGCCTTGGGTTCTTGCCATCTCTCAGGATGCAAATCAAGATAGATTACCACAAGAAAGTTCAGACAAGAGGCAAAGGTTTATTAGCTGGTGCACAAGGAAACCAACATCGAGAAAGCAAAGGTTGGTCCCAGAGGCTCCTCGAGAGAAATTAGAACAGGGTGTGAAAGGGAGCTACGCAGCGTAAAAGCTGTCTAAGAATGTAAACGCGGAGGTTTCTTGGCGCCTGTGCAGTGAGACTATATGCTTCATGCATTGCATGTCTCATTAGCATGGTAAATCTCCACCCCTGGGCTGATTTTTAGTATTAAAATTAGGGGAAAAGTCACCTTAGGGACCCTCTTGGGCCTTATTGCGAATGTGCGTTGACAGGGAAAGTCCCTCAGTGATGGTAAGCCATCTTTGTGATTTGCCTCCCAAGGTTCCTTGATGCCCATCCGTGGTACTTAGGGCGGTTATTCCTGTGAAATTTATGAGGCTTCAGCAGCTGACTTTGCTGACTAACTCAACAGTAAAGCAGTTGCCCTCCTGTCTCATAGGGACTATGGATTCGATAATAGTATTGTATAAATGTTAAATTTTTTTATATTGGTAATTGTATTATGGTTGTGTAAGAGAATGTCCTTGTTTTTAGAAAATAAACTCTGAGGTATGTAAGGGTAAAGGATATGAAGGGGACCAGAGTAGGCCACCCCAAAATGTGCCACTTTAGCATGTGGATTATTTTGAGCTGAAGGCAATCAAGACCCAGCAGACTCAGGAAAAAGTTTTACCTCTCCTTGACTGTCTAGAAGAACTCAGACAGGGGGCCTTACCAGAAAGAGTGATTACCAGAGACAGCATTTTTATCTGACAGGCCTGCAAGGCAGGGCAAATATCTGATTACCAAACATCTCCTCTTGTCTTCTGGTGCGTTGTCCTGCCCTCTAAAGCCCCAGACCCCTATCCTGTTCCTTGGTTCAGGAAGACATATAGCCTCAATTGCCTGCCTTTGGGTCTCATTTTTATGGGGCTCTGTACCTACAACATTAAATTTGTTTTCTTCTGTTAATCTGTCAATTTGTTACACCAGCCAAAGAACCTAAAGAATAAAAAAATTTTCTGCCCCTACAAGTGTTAAATTAATTAAATAAGGAGGCCATTAGACTGAAGAGGTTCTAATGCTTATTAATCTATATAACAAAAATTTAAGCCTGTGAAAGTTAAGAAATCTAAACCTAAGACAACCAATCAAAAACAGCCCAGTAGGCTTTTCCAAATAAGACAATTGCTTAATCTATAGCTGATCAAATACAGCTAATCCTTGAACAATATGAATTATAACTGCACAAGTCCACTTATGTGTAGACTTTTTTCAATAAATATATTGGGAAATTTTTTGGAGATTTCCTTACTACTCTGAAGCAATCGTATCAATTACATTACGCTACCACAAAGCAATCATATTGCTGCTTCTTCATTATCAATGCACTGCTCGATTCAAATTGATTTTTGCTCAAATAAACTTAAAATTTTTAATATGCCTCAGTTTATCTTTTAACAAACAGCATGGTGTCTGCAACTCTCAAGCAGTTTGGATAAAAGAGAGTGAATAATAGAACAAGTGGGGAAAATATAAGCAATCAATGAATGTGAATAAAGCTAATGAGAGTCCCTTGGATAAATGAGTATGTTCCTTGTACAGCAACTTGCAATGTTTCTGTAAATTTAAAACTTTATCTAAATAAAGTTATAAAAAATATGACATAGTTGAGGCAGTTTTGCTCACTTCTGTAAGGGTAATGAAGGTAAAAGATTACTGACAAGTTAAAATGTTAACAACATTTTATCAGAATTTGGGATCTCTATCAAACTACATTCCTTCCGATTACAAGGGTCTCTGGCAGTAAAATACCCCCACTAAATTGACATAAGTCTGAAGAAGTGCAACAAAATCCAAACAGGAAATACTAAGAGACATTTCCAACCCTTAAGGCTAGTGGCAAAAAATACAATGCCCTCCTGGGCAAATCTCTCTAGTGACTACTTCAACCCACAACCCACACTCTGAAAGTAGCTTTAGAAAACTAGTCTAGAACGTTTAGAATTTATTCTATAAAACTGGCAAAATCTTTTCTTAAACAGCTGTTTACAAAAAATAATAAAAATTAACTTTTACTCTGTTGGACATATTTTATGAGTTCTTGGTCTTCAGATATCTGAGTAGGGTATAAAGACAGCCAACATGCTCTGAGGACCTGCTAAGTGTCAGTGGCACTAGGGAACTGAGGAACACAGAGGCAATTTCCTTGCCAAAGGTCAAACATTAAGGAAGTGAAACAAGGTGTCTTTCTCAAGAGCCCATTTTCTATTCACTAATCTGTGTAGTGCAGTTCATGGATCCATTCCATGGTATTTTATAGAGCATCTCAATGTCATTGTCAGCATAGCCCTGAAAGATTGGTGTTATCATCTCCCCTTTTACATATAAAGAAAATGAGATGGAGAACTAACATGACTTGTTCAAATCCACAAAAGCTAGGAAGTCATGGAGGCAGTGCCAACATAGTTCTGTGAGACTTCCAAGCTCATACCGCTTTTACCCATCAAGACAGCACAAATATTGTAGACTGCATTTGGAAGAATTGGGTATCATCAAGAAAACGATAACTGAGTGAACCCCAAGCCCTAAATTAACTAAAATTAAATCATGAGAAGTTTCATAAAATAGTTCTCAAGGCAAAAGATGATTTTTTTTAATGGCTCTAAATATTGTCAGAAAACTCTCCTTTTTTCCATTTGAAACTGTACACACATTCACACACCAGATCTCTGGCCTTCCCCTACCCCAGTTTATTGTAGGTCTTCTCCCTCTTCTCTCCCGTCTTTCTCTGTCTCCTCCTTCCCTCCTTCCCTCCCTCCCTCCTTTCCATCTTCCTCTCTCCCTTGTGTAAAAAGATTACAAAGGTCCCTGCTGCCCCCTCGTGGCCTTACTCTGGAAATGGCAGTCACATTAGGAAAATTAGCAAAATAATTATAGATGATAATAAAATGACACTTATACTCCAGAATTTCTGGAGACAGTGGGCCACCAGGGTGAGAGAAAAGTGCCTGTTACTACTGACAAGTAATTTAACTTCCCAGGAGCTCAGCAAATGCACTCGAATATCCCCTTTTCACAGCTGCCTGACGGGGTGAGATAGCACAAAGGTCTTGAAGCACGGCACACTCTCAATAATTATCATTTCCTTGTTTACTTCTGACAAATCTATACAGCTGAGGAAACTGAGGCTCGGCACAGCTTACTCATTTTAACTCAGCCAGCACGCAGAAATAGACCAACAATCCAAGTTTTCAGGCTCTAATTCTAGTTCTCTTCATGATACCTCAATATCTCAAATTAACAGTTGATAATGAGAAATGTTAAAAATGTTTCAAGTCTTAAAAGGATATTTTCATATACTCTCGTATTTTTCATTAAGTCCAAAAAATACACATTTCATTGGTTAGTGGTCGCATCTCTTGAATGTGTCTTAAAATTGCAAGGAGCACACAAAGATTTAATGTGCAAAACATTCACAAATCATTACTTATTAGTAAGACAAAGCTGAGATAAACTTTGGTAAAAATTGTTGTCATTTATGGAACAATTTCTTGGTGCCAGATACTGTTTTAAGGGTTATGAATGTATCAAAGCATTCAGTGAGGTTAAATACTATTATTATCTGCCCTTAACATATGAAGAAACCGAGGAACAGAGAGGTTAAGGACCTTGCCTAAGGTCAAACATTAAGGAGTAGGAAAGCCAGGAATTAAACTGAGGTCTTTCTCAAGAGTCACTAATCAATTGGCTTCTAAGCCAGAGTCCATGGATGCATCCCCTATTCCATTGCATGGGTAGCACCCATGGTGGAATATGGTGTAACCATAAAAAATTACTTTTTCAGTAAGTACTAAAGTATATGGGAACATGCTTACATTAAAATGTTAAAGGAAAAAACAGTATGCAAAATTGCATATTATATTATTTCAGTCTTAGAATGTGTGTGTATGAGTGTGTATACAAAACCAAAATCTAAATCTAAATAGTATCTTTCTCCAGGTTACAGGTTATGGGTAATACTGTATCCTCCTTTATACTTTTCTAGATATTCTGAACTTCTGTAATGAGACAGAACTGCTATGATCATCAGAAAATTTAGATTAAAAAAATATTTCAGGGTGCTTAAAAAAGTACCAGAATTTCCAACAACAGCACTTAGTTTCCCTTTATAGTAAAATAATGAATCAGGAAGTGAATGGAAAAGGTCTGCAAAAAAAAAACACAAGTATCCCAGGAGTTGGGAACAGAGGATGGATGTTCAGGCAGAACGGGAAGTGCCTGAAGACAAAGTGTTCAATAGCATACCAGTACTGGAATAACAGCTCACTGGAGTCTGTTTTCGATTGATGTCAGCTATTCAGAGGCTGTCTTTGGACAGCAGTCATTAGGATTCACTACAGACTGAAGTAGTGTGGATGGATCTGATGCCTTCCCTGATGGGAAGAGCTCTGACCCCAACAGGTATAATGTCTGGATTGGAGAGTTTCAAAGGTGCCGTGGAAAAGCAACAGAGAGAGACTTCTTTTGGACAGTAACCCTAAATAAGGTACTGCTTCATGACAACCCTTTCCTGGCAGGGCCTATCTGCAGCACCAGATCAGGCTGGCCCATCCTGAGGCGGCAACCTACACGGGCCAATCGCATCACTCACAATGAAAGCCTGCCACTCAAGATAATACCGCTTGGCCCCAAACACTGTATCGCGTGTGCCTTTTCCTGCCTTCTGAAAAAGTTGAGGCTGAGCTGCTGAGCCTGACCCTTACCAGGCCTTTGGAATTCCTCTGCATACAGATTAGATAGGGGATTTTTTTTTTTTTAAATTGGAAACTAACTTCAGTTCACTTTAGAACCTCTTGTTTGATGCACAAGTCTGGCTATTTCAGAGATTTCGGCTTTGCAATTAAGTTGGAATCGATCTCTTTTCTCAGAAAAAACTGCTAGTTAGTTGTGGTCAGCAGAAGTCTCCACATAGGCATTAGCAAGGAAGGTTCTTGCTGAGGCTCACGCCAAGAAAAGCTCAAAGGAGAACTTTGAGAACTCATTTTCAGGATGAAGCTGCAAGAGCAAAGAAATACTTCTAACACGAACAAATGCTGTCCGTTGACCAACAGATGCAGGAAGAATCTTCTCCCAGCCACTGCCGCTCCTGTGATGGGAATCTGGCTCCTTCAAGTGCAACTTCCCCTCCTGCTGCTGCTCTCTGGCCTGCAGAGACCCACGGTGAGTTCCCAGTGGGGGCACAATTCAGGAGGTGATCTCTTATCAAAGCTCCAATAGGGCATTCTCCTGGTGACAACCTATGGGGAACTTTAGGCACCTGGGATCTGATTTCTATGAGGCTATTTCAACAAATAGTACTAGTGAAGAGTGTGGGAAAGAATTATTTTAAATTGTGGAATTCTTTACAGTTTATACATTTGGAATTATGTAAGCTGGAGGTATAGTGTTATTTACTTGACTCTCTACAAAATTTAAGTGAGACACTGCTTTTGTAGGACAAATACTGCAAAATAAACCAAGTCTATGTTTTTTAATTTTTTTATTAGTTTCAGGTGTACAGAACATAGTGATCAGACATTTACATAATTCACAAAGTGATAACACCAACAAGTCTATCACCCAGCCTACACTGTATAGTTATCAGAACATTATTAACTATATTCCCCATGCTGCATGACTCATCCCTGTGGCTATTTTTCAATTTTATATTTGACATTGAGTATTATATTAGTTTCAGGTGTACAGCATAGTGGTTAGACATTTATGTAAGTCTAGTACCCATCTAACACTATAGTTTTTACAATACTATTGACTATATTCCCTATACTGTACTTTACATCCCTGTGACTCTCCTGTAACTACCAATTTGTACTTCTTAATCCCTTCATCTTTCTCACCTAGTCCCTCAACCCAGGCCCATCTAGTAACCATCAGTTTGTTCCCTATGAGTCTGTTTCTGTTTTATTCATTTTTTTTGTTCTTTAGATTCCACACATAAGTGAAATCACATGGTGTTTGTCTTTTTCTGACTTATTTCACGAAGCATAATACCCTCTAGGTCCATCCATGTTGTCACAAAGGGTAGTATTTCATTCTTTTTTATGGTAGAGTAATATTCTGTTGTATATATGTACCACAATTTCTTTACCCAATTGTCTATTGATGGGCATTTAGGTTGTTTTCATATCTTGGCTGTTATAAATAGTGAACATAGGGGTGCATATATCCTCCCCAATTAGTGTTTTGGATTTCTTTGGATAAATACCCAGGAGTAGAATTGCTGGGTCATAAAGCAGCTCTATTTTTAATTTTTTTGAGGAAACCCCATACTTTTTCCATAGCGGAGGTACCAATTTGCAATCCCACCAACAGTGCAAAAGCGGTACCTTTTCTCCACATCTTCACCAACGCTTGTTTGTTGATTTATTGATGATGGCTATTCTGACAGGTGCGAGGTGATCTCTCATTGTAGTTTTTATTTGCATTTCTCTGATGATAAGTGATGTTGAGCATCTTTTCATATGTTTAATGGCCATCTGTATGTCCTCTTTGGAGAAATGTCTATTCAAGTCTTCTGCCCATTTTTTAATTGGATTGTTTTTTTGGTATTGAGTTGTATGAGTTTTTCTATAGAGTGTGGATATTAACCCCTTATAGATGTATCATTGGCGAATACATTCTCCCATTCAATAGAATGTCTTTTCATTTTGTTGATAGTTTCCTTTGCTGTGTAAAAGCATTTTAGTCCCATTTGTTTTTCTTTTGTTTCCCTAGCCGATGGAGAAAAATCAGTAAAAATTATTACTAAGGGTAATGTCTGAGAGTTTACAGCTTATGTTTTCTTCTAGGAAACCAAGTCTATCTGGCTTTAGGTTGTATCATATAGACCAGGGTTGTCAAACTGGCAGCCCGCGGGCCACATGCGGCCCTCGAGGTAATTTTTTGTGGCCCGCGATGCTCTGAAATAAAATGAAAATAGAAAAAATTGTTATGAAGAAAATAGCGCTTAGGGGAGATAGAGGCAATACTGTACACACAATTCCCTCATTAACCCTTTAACTACTTAAGACGAGTATACATGTGGCCCAGTGCCTTTCCTGGGGGCCTGTGGGCATGTATAAACGCGCTGACTCAGTTCCGGCAATGTTTGGAAGCGATATGTCTGCCATTCTCAGTGTCACGTAATGTAAACAGATCCCAATAGCGAAAAGGTTAAAAAGAGCACTTGGGTAAAAAAGAATAATTTTAGTTTTATAAATACATTAAATAAAATAAATGTTTAAATAAAAGCAATTATATAGTGTTTTAATTATCCTATCCATATTCCTGAATCCTCACTTCAAAATATAAATTTAACAAAATTTGTAAATGTGATGTGGCCCGCGTGAATCTTGCCTGTTGCACCAAATGGCCCGTGTTTTAATTGAGTTTGACACCCCTGATATAGATCAACTCAAAAGAAGTACAGTATTACAATTTAAAGTTCTATATAATGAAAAGAAACCTAATGTTAAATGATAGACTACATATTTGAGATCTAGTAATATATTAAAGTTTTAAAGTTTATCACGAGATTTGACAAAATATGATATTATTGATTTTGTTTTGTTCCCTCTCCCTCTCCTCTCCCTCTCCCTCTCCCTCTCCCTCTCTCTCTCTCTCTCTCTCTCTCTCGTGGGATGGAAGGCATTGTTGGTTGCTTCCTTACAATGGATTAGAAAAAATTCACTAACAACACATATTGCAATTACACTTAGAACAGAGAGCCAGGAGTAAAAATTAACTGCCAGCTCCAAACATACCAAGTGCAGAACTTTACACAAACCCTACTTATCTAGAACACTAAAAAACTTGGTCTTGAACTTTATCATCATCTCTAATAAAACAATTGACTTATGAATGATCATATTTGTACACTCAAAAGAAAGTTACTGGTTAAAATTATTCAGGTAGTCTTAAAAATTTGTTCTAGTTTGTACACAACGAGGTGGTTTCACAGTTATTTGAGTTCCAGGCACAACATCCTTACCAGGTATTGACTGAATAGAATCTTACTTCTTAATATATTCCTTAATGAATATTGTTCATTAGAAAAGCATAATTTCTTTGCCAAGCAGGAAACACCTTGGGATGTAGATCACTGAACTATAGCTCTACATGATGGACGGATGGTACTTAATGAACTTGTATTCAAATCCCTAACTCCAGTTTAACGTGCACTCGATTATCAATAAGTAATATTCAATTGACTTCCCATTAGAAAATGTGTTTTTCCCATTCCTGGTTTCCAAGAGGAGGGACTTTCTAGGCATATTTCCTATGACTGTTCAACTCTTTACTCACTCTACTACCCTGGAGGTGGGCAAATTTACTTGATGGGCATTATCAGGAAGAATAACTGGATATGCTGAATTCAACTCCATTTTTCTTCCTCCTGGGAGCCAGCTTGATAGCAAAGGGCAGGAGGTCTGAGTTCCTCCATGACAAGTACCTTACCTGGGCAGACCACAATCCAGTACTGTCTGGAGCTGGGTGGGCAAGTTCGCCTCATTCTGGAGTTTACTCTTAACGTGCCCACTTGCCATCAGACCTAAAGATATATGCCACAACACGACATTATTCAGTAATAAAAATATTTCAGCCTTCATATTTACTCTTTTTTTCCTCAATTTTTTTCAGAACGTAGGCTGAGGAGAGGGCTGTTCTTTACTGGGGATCCCCTTGGAGAATCCAGCATTACTCATCACTTAAGCCTTTTCTTAAATAGAGTTAGAAGTTTACTATAGATTTTAGGTATTTATAAAAGAGATCCCCCTTCAAACACCCGTTAGAGAATGTGAAGGGGGTCCATAGAGGAAACAGAAAGTATAATTCAAGTTTAAGGTTTCAAGGCTTTCTTCAACATATTCAACATGCAAAAATAAAAACTATTGAGATGTTGGTGATACAAAAAGGGTCATTTCCTCCCTGGGGAGATGAGTATGTTTTTAGCTTTCAGTATATTTATCAAACCAAATTCAATCTCTAACACAAGTCACTGATGCAGGAAGGACTAGAGCAGTGTAATGATTATAAGTGAAACTTACTTCAGCAAATATTGGTTTTGGGGGGTACCTGGCCTTATAGAGTACAGGAAATCTGCTACCACATTTACTATCTGATTTTCAAATTCAAATCCAGATTTCTCATCTCTTACAGGCTGCAATTAAAATCAACTTTGACTTGGTAGAAGATTCCTTTGATGATCAGTATCAAGGCTGCAGCCAACAGGTCATGGAGGAGCTAAGTCAAGGGGATTATTTCACAAAAGAAGTAGAAACCCACAGGAATTACTCCAGGGCCTGGGGTTCTGCCCACTTAACCTGGTTGAGCCGAAGTAAAGCTCTCCCTAAGAACATGACTATCACACATGCTGTGGCCATTTTAGTTTATACATTGAACAAAAATGTTCACTCTGACTTCACTAAAGCCATGGCCAGTGCTGCCAGGTCTCCATGGCAATATAAACATTCATTCCATTTCAAATATCTTCATTACTACCTGACCTCAGCAATCCAGCTGCTGAGGAAAGGGACTGTCGTGAAGAATGACTCTCTGTGTTACGAGGTGCATCATGAGGCTGATTACTTGAAAGCCTACACAGGTGACACCATTCGATTTGGCCAATTCCTATCCTCCTCCCTCCTAAGAAAAGAGGCACAGAAGTTTGGGAACCAAACTCTATTTACCATCCTTACCTGCATGGGTGCACCTGTACAAAACTTCTCTCTCAAGAAGGAGGTCCTGATCCCGCCCTATGAGTTGTTTGAAGTTGTAAACATGAGCTACCACCCAGGAGGAAATTGGTTGCAACTGCGGTCAACCGGAAATCTGAGCACCTACAACTGTCAGCTGCTAAAAGGTACCGTTATTGATCTGAATTGAATTCATATCAGGATTACAGACTACTATTCTTTTATAAAAGTTATTTTTCTGAGTGGGCGTGGGGGGGGGAGGCCAAAAACACGGAAATTGGCCTTCAGCAATGGTGGAACTGACAGGTTAGAGAAAACCTGCCTTATTTTTTGGTTTCCCCTCTCTTCTTTCTCCCTAACTACCGTGAGGAAAATGTATTTCTGCAATGGCACTAATATATGGGGCATTCTAGACAGAGAGAATAAGCCTCTACTGGAAAAGATAGCATATAACGTGGAGCATTTTTGCCTTACCCCTCAAAATTTCCTGCCATGGTCATTTCATGAATAAGGAGTGCTAAAAGTAAAGCGGGACGCATGAGTTAGTCATTCACTCTTATCTGTTAATCATCTTCTATGTTCCAAGAACTAGGCTAGGGGGCCCTGGGCAATACAAAAGAAATAAAGCAAAACTACTATCCAGGAGGATTTTTACTCTAATGAAAAATGGAAATAGGAACAAGCGTCTACACACAAAAGTACAAAGTAACACACTCCGTGTTTCAGCAATGGCTGTGGCTGCTCAGTGCAGGAAGCTTTCATTCTCTCTACAGAAAGTGAAGGAGACCTAACAGTAGAGAACCACAGAGGACTTGAAGTAGGAATGGGGGTTTTTAGTGAAAGAAGAGGAAAAAAGTCATTTAAGCAGAAAACAGCAAATGCTGAATCACAGGCCTTTCAAACAGCCTAGTGACTGGAGGGAACCTCTAAAATTCCAGATGGCTAGAATGTAGAGTGTGCAGGACGCAGGAGGAGTGGAGACTGAGGAGGAGGGTGACTGGGCAGGGAGAGCTCTGATGGGGCCCAACTGTAAAAACTCCATGCTCAGGACTTTCACACTTCATGCTGTAGGTAAGAAGTCATTAGACGGAGGAGCATCAATGAGATCAACATTTTAGCAAGAGCACTGATGATATTGTGAAGAGTGAATTAAAGCTGGAGAAATCAGAGATACCACAATACAAAAAAGCAAAAAAAACCCCCAAAAAACAAAACCTGTTAAGCTCTTTTTTAGAAAACCACGTGGCTGATTCCATTTCATCCTTATATGTTGCCAGCCACAGTCATTTCACAGAGCAGTAGTTCTGTAGCAAATGCTATGCCATTTGATTCAGGGAAAAGAACATCCTTATCCACATGTGCAGTCATTCATACTCTCAGTTAACTGCAACCCAGCTGCAGGGTCTACCACTGAAATATCCCTGAATCTTTCCCTACTCCATCATTGCTGCTGCTGTCAGTATTTCTCAACATGTCAGGGTGGTAGTGTTGCAAAGTTCCTTAAACTGGCATCCACACTGAGGTCAGGGCCTGCTCGCTCTGGCCTATCTGTGAACTGCAGACCAGGGGAGAGGTGATGCACCAATGCTTTTCTTTCCTCCCTCCTGTCCTTGGCAGTGGAAGGCAGCAGTGTGAGTGAAACACATATCTGCCCCACAGACCCAAGAGATCATTGTTTGTGAGAATGAACAACTGGAGTAGAATATGAAGAAAACAGTGAGGTTTTAATAAAAAATGAGAACATTCATAGTCAAGTTGCAGGATCCTTTGGAACTACATCTGACTAGGACACTGTTGCTTCATTCTCATCATGAAGCAACTATCAATACGTCAACCAGCACAGTAAAATATATTAAGTAAAAGAGCATACAACATTTATGTCAATGAGTAGGAAACTGAGGGAGAGGAATATATAATAGAAACTATTACCCATGTTCTGCCACTCTCAAATATTTCAAGACCCCCCCACCCCCCACCCCCAAACTAATGAGCTTTGCTTTCCTGTGGTGAAACTATTCAAACACAACTTCAACTTGGTTTAGAGTTAAGGCTTAGCTGGGGTAGCCATGCATATTACTAGATTCTGGAAGCTTGGTTGTCCTTGATTGGATATTTGAAGTCATGAATCATACTTAAGGGAATCGATTATT